CACTGTGCGTTCGGGAGGGGGCCGGTGAGGCCCCACCGGCCTCCTCCCCGCCTGCCCGTGTCTCTCCCTCAGGCCGACTCTCCTCCCCTCCCTCTCTGTCTGCCCCCCCCACTGTCTCTCCCCTCCGTCTCTCTCCTCTCTCTGCCTCGCTCCTTCCTCCCTGTCTCTCCCACTCCCTGGCTGTCTCTGCCCTTCCATCTCTGCCTCTCCCCCTCCCTCTCTCTCCTCCTGTCTCTGAATCTCTCTCCACTCCTCCCTCCCAGCCAGCCCTGGCCGTCCCTCCCTCTGAGTCCTCCTGGCCACATCACAGCCTGGGGCACAAGGGAAGACCCTGGGGCAGCCCTCAGTCCCACCCAGACAGCTCCACCCAACGTGGCAGCTTACGGGTCAGTCGGGGCTCAGACACGGGGGACCAGAAGGCGGCTTCTTGGAACACGGAGGGGCATCTCCTGGGCCCCAGGAGAGAGGGCCCCTCGGCTGGGTATCTGAGTCTTGGGGCCCTGACCCCTCCCTGGGGCTCCACCCCCGTCTCCCCCCAGTACGATGAGCTGCCCCACTACCCAGGCCTCGTGGATGGCGCCGCAGCCCTGGCTGGCTTCACGGAGGCAGTGCCCTCGGCACCGAGAGCCCCGGGGCCCTACGGCCCGCACCGGCCTCCCCAGCCCCTGCCCCCGGCCCTGGACAGCGACGGCCTGAAGAGGGAGAAGGATGAGATCTATGGGTGAGGGGGGCTGGGCCGGCGAGGGGTCTCTGGCTCTCCTGCCTTTCTGGGTCTCGGTCGCACCTCTCGTCCGTCTCTCTGTGCCTCTGCTTCTCCGTCTTTCCTCCCGGGCCTCTTGCCCGCCTCCCCTCACGGCTTTCCCTTCTGCCCCCCCCAGGCACCCCCTCTTCCCCCTCTTGGCCCTGGTCTTTGAGAAATGTGAACTGGCCACATGCTCCCCCCGCGATGGGGCCGGGGCTGGGCTGGGGACGCCCCCGGGTGGAGACGTCTGCTCCTCTGATTCCTTCAACGAGGACATCGCGGCCTTCGCCAAGCAGGTGGGCGGGCGTCCCCTCCGCTGAACGCCCTGGCAGCAGGGAGGGGCGGAGGGGAGGCAGGATACACCCACGGGCCTCTCTGTGCCCTCCCAGGTCCGCTCCGAGAGGCCCCTCTTCTCCTCCAACCCCGAGCTGGACAACCTGGTGAGAGCCCGGCGCTCCCCGCGCCCCCTCCTCCGCGGAGTCTCACCCCCAGAGTGGGTGGGGGGTGCAGAGGGGACCCC